TTTTTTTTTTTTTTTTTTTTTTTTTGCACTTTTAAGACATTATTTTATGAATACTTTACCATTTTATTAACCTATAAATTTTGATTAACATAAATAAATTGAGTATAGAGAAATTCTAAATGGTGTTGATAAATTAGTGTTTTTGCAGGTGCGGGATACATTATCTGATGCTGCAGTCTCTCGGAAGTTTGGGGAATTTTTTGTCAACTGGGCTTTGTCCTTCAAGATTTGAAGCTGTTTGAGTTTGTCACTATTCAATTCCCTGCATTTTCGTGTGGCAGGGCGTTTGAAATCATGCGAGTATATACCCCATTCCACCACTAAGAATTTTTTTATGGCTTGAATTTGTTGGTGAATGTTCATCGTGGCGTCAAATTCAGAATTTTTATTAGAAAGGTTAATGGATCCTTGGCGCTCTCGATTAATGCTCATACTTCATTGCATTTGTACTGTCATAAACATGGGTGAATGAAAATTGGATTTCATATTCATATATTCGTCCTTGAAATGCTGAAAAAGGGCGACTTTTCAGGTCTCGTTATATTGGTATATTCTTGTCATAATACGGCCGGATGGATCATAAGTGAAAGGAAAAGTTGAAATGTAAACTTTACCTTTTTCTCTTCTTTGTTATGCCTCAAATTTCTTATTTTGATCCATGAATGCAAAAATCTGACTAGAAAAAGGAAAAAAGAATCATCATTGATGCAATTGTGGAGGTGCCATTGGATAAGCAAGTGGCATGACATAAGGAGGGTGGGGATGGATTCCATGAGGAAGCATCACTGGAGTGTCAACCGCCGACGCCATGTGCCCTGGACGAGCCGCCACTGGATGTCCAACAGGTGCCCCGTACATGCCGATTCCGGGCAGATGCTGCTGAGGCCCGTGCTTCCCTGGTGGCCCCAAAGCCGGCGGATTACTCTGGTTAGGGCCATTTGTCTGGTGGCCGGTGATCGGAGATTGATGGGACATGACGTCACCACCGCCATTATTAACTGAGGTTATGTCACGAATACTTGATCTTCTTCTATCTCTGTTCATTGAGTTCAATCGTATGAAGTATTTCTGTGCATGACTGGCCACTTGTGTCGGTGTCCTGGATATAACGAAGTTTCTTGAAATGCTTCTCCAATCCCCTTTCCCAAACTTGTCTAGCCCCAGCAGAAATAACCTGAAAATAGCAATAGTTAAGAATCTCTCTCAATTATGTTGTGCACACAGAATCTCCGTATAGAGGAGGCAAGATGGTGCCATTCAACACAAGAACAAGGTATTTATTTATTTGTTATTTTTTAAATCTAAATTGATTGATAAATTATATAGCTCTCAATGAAAAGACCCAGTTTTCGAAGTAATTATTCCATGGCTGAAGTTGTTGAAAATACACTAACCTGTGTTCTTCCTCTGTCCATGGAATCACTTTCTTTCTTTCTTGTTCAGACCTGGATCCACCCTTTGCGGCATGGGCAGATGAATTGTGGGAGAGCCCAGAAAACCCACTTCCAAGACCAGAATTGGGTATTTTATTACTATCAGAACCAGTAGCTCCATGTGGATGAAGACGATGATCCTTCGCCTTGGTAGAGGCTTTAGTTGCTTCTTCTGAAACAGAATCATAGTTGGGAATAGGAATTTGGCCGGACTCAATAGCACCGACGTCTTCCACCAGCATTTGGTAGTGCTGCTTCAAGTCTTCCATGTTCTTGGTTGGAACCATTGAAGCAATGTTTTCCCACATCTCTTCTGAGGCCTTATTCCCTTCAATTCTCCAGCCCAATGCGTGGCTATGGCGTTTTCAAACGCTTTATCTTCTTCTTTAGTCCAGGTAGTAGCTGATCCAGTTGACATGGTGCAGTGATGTTATTTAAAACCAGAGGGGAAATTGTGTTTAGTTTTCTGGGGAAGAGTCGAGTCTGGTTTGAGCCAAAAGATAAAAGGGAGAGAGAAAAGTGGAATGTGGTGTAGGGCAAGGGAAGGTGGTGAGTGGTGAAACTACGAATTGAGAGAGGACCACTTTTTGGAAGTTGAAGTGACATGTTCTTTGTCATTTCCATACTCCATCAATAATCATACTTCCAGAAGCTTTAGAGAGAGAGAGAGAGAGACTTTATGGTCAAACATCAGCCGTCATGGAGTAGGTAGTGAGAATCTTAAAAAAGAACACATATTAAACCATAATCTCTCTCTCTTTTTGCAGTTCCCTACAGAAGGAAGAGAAAAAGAAAAGAAAAGGAGAAGAAATAAGAGTTTGCCACACGACCGTCGTCGTCGTGGTTGGAGGCGTGCAGGTATTTTTCTTTTTCTAACTCGCCCCAAGAATCTCTAGCTTCAAGTCTGAATAACACACTATATGAACTCCAACTACGAACTTGAAATTTTCTAGTATTTCCGTAGTACGAAGAAAAGTGTGATATTGATGAAATAAGATCATATATCATTGAATTAGGTCTCAAATACTGAAAGTGCGACAAATTTTCCCTATTAATTGGGATACGAGTATATATATATGTGCATGTGCATGGAGGTAAGAGGTTGGATCGTTAATCGAGAAAAGGTGTCAACCCGAACATAATTTAACTAATTACAACTAAGAATTCAAAGGTTTGTGGATGGATCCAAATTCTACATCATTATTATGCTGAAATTGGTAAGTATTTTTTCTTTATCATCTTTGTATCTTTTCAATAAATTAAAAAGTCTAAAAAAAATTAAAAAAAGAAAAAAAATTAAAGAAAGACCTTAAATAAAAATATATGTTCAATCTTGTAATATATTTATATATGATGGAATTTACCGTATCCAAACAAGCTCTAGGGTTTCGAAGGGTTAAATGACCAAAATAACCCTCACATCTTGACAATTCATGGGGGTATATCCGTCTTCACACACGATCCGAAGCCCTAGTTATGATGCGCATTTTTTCTCCTCCCTATTTGCATTGGTCGATTCTGCATTCCGGCGGCTTGTCTACTATTCTTCGTAGTTTTCTCTGATCTCATCCTCCCTCGTTTAAGGTATCTATCGACTTCATTCTTCGATCCGTGTTGATCTCTCTTGTTCTTTGTGCTGTTCAGAATTCATTGCATTTGCAGTTCGTGTTTGAATGCTCTGCGAGATGGTTGAAAAAGGACTCTTTATTTTTCAGTTTTTTTGTTTTTCTTTAGTCATCAGTGTTTTCATTAACTAGAGTGAATCTTTCGGTCGTTGCTTTTATGATTTCATTTTAAACGATTGAATTCTTACCGTGAAGAAGATTTTCGAGTAATTATTGAACGAAGAATCGTAGTACTGTTGCTATATGTTTCGTATTAGGCAGATAATTATTGAGATTAGGGTTGTTTAGCATTGCAGTTCTTAGTCTTTCAGGAGCCTGTTTACGAGTTGAAAACCTTGCTATGCTATGCAGGCATATTCCTCGATGTCTTGGTTGAAAATATTGAAGTAATTAGTATTGTAACTTTCTGAAAGTTGGTCTCTTCCACACTTAACATTAGGTTGTTCTGGACTGACATCCATAAGCTTTTCTGTTTTCACTAGTTTACCCGTTCCTATACCTCATTAGGCTGTTCAAGTTGAGAAGTGGAGCTGTATAACTAGCAATTGGTGGTAGATTGTTTTGGAAATCGCTACTTAGAAGGGGTAATTGTAAAGGAATTTTTTTTGGATTGTAAGGTATGTTATTGTTACTTCTGTGTAGGAATGGAATCGCAGATCAAGCATGCTGTGGTGGTCAAAGTGATGGGTAGAACTGGATCAAGAGGGCAGGTGACTCAAGTGAGAGTCAAGTTTCTCGATGATCAAAATCGTTACATTATGAGGAATGTCAAGGGACCAGTGAGGGAAGGAGACATTCTAACCCTGCTGGAGTCTGAGAGGGAAGCTAGAAGGTTGCGTTGATGGGGGGGGACTCTGTCAAGGTCGTCCCAGTTCTCCGATTTGCAGTTGTTGAATGTAGAATGGCTGTTTTCATTTTCCCCTAATTGTGTTATTTTAGTGACTAGCGTGTCCAAGACATTTGGTTCTAAGGCAGAATACGTGAACTGGATGAGTTATTTAATTGAGTTTTGAAAGCATCAATTTTGCTTATTATGGAATTTCTGTCAAATTTTGTGGTTGTTTACAGACTGCGTTGTATTTTTGGTGTAATTCAAGTCATGCATACAATGAAATTCTTGAGTTCAGTTGGTATGCTAACTTTCTTGGGAGGGAAGTGATTTTCAAATTTGTTAAGAAACTCAAAACACTAAAAAGAAATCCCACGATGTTTAACATCTGTTGCCACTGTCTCAGTATTTTGGAGCTGAAACTATATGCTTGAACGGTACAAAAGTATAATATACATATTACAGGTTGATATTATGCTCCCTTTGAAGTGATGAAGACAGTACAAAATTAGAAACTCTAGTAAAAGAAAAGCTAACTATCATCTCCTGAAAGAATTTTTGATGATCCATAAGTTCACAGTAGGCTGTAGATGTCAAATTGGATGACTGAAATGTTACGACACCGCCATATCTACCATCCTTGGCCATCTGTTTGTTTGTAGAAACATGTTTTTAAGACCATGATATGCCATATAATTCATCCCAACACTGTATGAGGATGGATCTTAAATATAAAGTGGTTCTTCCTAAAACATTTGCAGCAGCCACAATGGGGGAAGAAAATCCCCCATCCAGTGATGGAGTGTACAAACCAATGAGGGCTGCCTCTGAATATCTGAAGAAACCCCTTTTTGACTGAGGCTACTTGATTCACAACGTGTGTATTTCAGTACTATCTTGGTGATTTAACACCAACTTGTACAAGCGGCCGCCCTGGAAGTTTAGTTAATTCGGGGCTCCCGCAAAGAAGAGATGCCCTCTGTGGATTAAGAAGCAAAAGCTGATGCATGTCTTTAGGAAGCACATTGAAAACGGCCAGAAGATCCCCGTTCAGTTTCTGGCAAGTTGCCGCAGAGTCTGCATAAGCCCTCCTGGATTCCTGCAGCTGAAGATGGGGTTTGAAACATTCAATATATGGCTGCACAACCTCTTACAAACAAGAAATTATAGCTCCTCTTCAACCACTACAGTTTAAATGATGAATGCACAAATTGAAAGAGTTGTTGGTATTTTTCTGTGAGATTCCATATTTGTTGGAGAGGGGAACGGAACATTCTTTGTGAGAGTGTGGAAATCTCTCTCTAGCAGACGCATTTTAAAATCTTAAGGGGAAGCCTATAGAGGAAAACTCAAAGAGGTGGGCTTGGGCTGTTACGGCATTCCTCCTCCTTTTCTTTTAACCTATCTCATTCCTGATTTCTCATATAAAGAAATACTAAATAACACGTCACTTGCTATGACGTCGAACATGCATTTCAATCATATTTATCGTTATTTTTCTCAGTAAGCTAACTTCAATCATTGCCAAAGTTCGAATGACATTGAAGCCTAGACCTCAGTTCCTCAACAATTTTGATTGAAGTATCTCCAGTGGACTCATAAACTTATCTGCTGAACACCTATTTGCGGGTTATAAGTCTACTCAGTGCCACAGAGAACACTAAGAAATGATTTTGGAAAAGCAAGAACAAGAAATGCTAGGCTGTAAATGAAATATGCCGCATGGTCACTTGGGTCAGTAAGAATCTAGAAGAAATATCAGCTAAAAAGTAGCACAAGGTATAAAAACATGAAGGGAAGGAAAACATAAACCACCAAACAAATCAATATACTAAATATTTAGAAGAAAACACTTGCACATCTATGAAGCATAGTAACACAAGGAGAAGTGTTATCCTTTAAAATGGTTCCCAATAAGGCTAAATCACATTCCTACAGATTATATTCAATGATGTCAACAAGTTCTGCCTTCATCACCATCTATTGTTCATCAAGCCCAAAATGTTCTTTAAAATCACATGAAAACATCACGTGTTGTCCTAATATCTTTCATGGGGTCAGAAATCCACCAAAAAAGTAACCTATCCTCATCGAAGTCATTCTGTACCTTTCAAAAGAATGCATAAAAGATCTTCCAAAAGAACAAAAAAGCTGTATTTGGAATCAAAATAGTGACAAAGGAATTGTTGGGAGAAATACCTCTATTTCTTTTAGAAGATGTCTTTCAATAGCATTAAATAAATCGACAACTTCCAATTCAGGCATTTTAGACACAAGCCGAGGTACATCAGCACTCATTCTCGCTTGCCTCCAAAGTCTATGCTGTTCTTGTTCTGCAACAGCACGCCTTCTCTGAAACCAAGGCATAAAGTTTGGTCCTTTGAGAAACCGCCTGGAAGGAATAGTTTAACAGGTCATTTGATATGATGATAACAAAGTTCAATACAACTATCCTTAAAGGGTGATGAATACTTCCAACCAAATAGAAGAATACAATAGAAATATGAATATAACACCCACATTACCTGTACAAATCCAGCCAGTTAGATCTCATTCGCTTGGCCAGAAATTTTCCCGGTCCTCTTGTCGATAGACTGGCAAGAAATTCATCAGCACTAAATTCGGGTCGAGAAGGCTCGTCAAATGGAGAAGATCCTTCTGAAGGGGTGGTGGTTCGGAAGTATGGCCCAAAAGGTGCCAAAAAGTTGGTTGTAAGCTCCAGGAAGTGCCGACGCAGTATCTCATTGTTAACGACAGACATAGACTCCTCAACCCTTGGTGATAAGCCAGCATCAATAAGCCGATTCAAGATCGACGTGTCTGGCTTCGTTACTGCAGGGTAAGTGCTCCAGATAGCTTCCTTATGTTCTGTCATAAGGCATAGTGGACCATCTCTCCTCAACTTGACAGCATTGAGCAAGTTTGACGGAGAGAACTTTTTCAAGGATAGTTGCCGAAGTCCAAGCCCTTCAGAAGCACCAGAAACACTGCCAGAAGAGGACCTGGACGTCTGGGCAAGCCGACTAACAGCAGGGGTCCCAACTGAGACAATATGAGGAATATTACGAAGGGATTTAAGGAAGAAGAGATTTGTGACCCCCAAAACCATTGGTGGGAATGTAGCTCCATCTTGAAGTGTGTTTAAGTACGAAAATTCAGGGTCATGAATAGTGAAGTAAGGTCTAAAATCAACACTACAAAGAAGAGGAGCAACCAAACTAACAAGACCAGCAACAGCTTCACAACACTGGGGAGGCGTTGGTGCAATGATAAGAATAGGTTCACCAATAAGTTGCAACTCCCACAACAGCCAGAGCTGCAAAAGAAGGCCCCGGAACGTACCAAAGAGATCGGAATCATGGAAAAGACCCTGTGGAACCGACAGATTATTGGGAAGAAAAGGAGCCATAGAGGACGTAGACTCTTCGGAAAATGTCTCACCATCCATTGGCAAACTATGAGCAGGTGGCAAGTGTGCTTTAAGCAAGGCATTTCCTATAGGAAGCTCCATTTGTTTACCAGGTACAGGAGCAAGCCACATTGAAACAAAAGCAGCAATATGCTCAAGAGCCTTCTTCCCAATGTCAAAATATAAAGGACCTATGATTTGCAACAGAGGTTTGAAGACAGTAGAATAAGGATTATGAGACAAAATTACCACAGACTTCTGCTCTCCACCTCTTCTCAACCTCTCATCGTGTCTCTGCCTATTAAAAACAAAACCATACATGTACTTAGACCTTCTAGCAACGCTGCTTTTTGATCTTAGCTCGTCCACTTCTGCTATCTCAGAAGAGGAAACATTTCTTGGTTGAGAAATTTCCTTCCTTCGAACCCGGAAAAAGAATATACAATCGTGAATGCTCGACCGGTTCTGGTGCTGTGAAATTGAATCAGGAAATGAACTAAAAGCAACTTCAAGTTCCTCATCTTGCGTTAGACAGTCTGGAGGGTAGCACTCCTCAATTAGTTGACCTTGTTCAAGATCAAACCTTATAATGCAAAAGGCCACAACCCACTTTTGGAGAGATTCTGGATCCAACTTCACATTAACTTCAGACTTCACAGAAAAAGAAGGGGACCTGCTCATTTTGTTGCATCAGTTCCAGGACCATTCCCCCTAATCTTCACTCATCACTATCCACTTCCCTCACAAAATTTCAGAGATTTCAACCAATAATCAAGATCCAGGCCGAACAGCTAACCTAATAATTCATGTGTTTTCGCCCATTTGGACACTTGTACTGAATCAAATCACCCGAAACAATGTACTGGAAAACCTGCATTATATGCCGATTAAAGGAGACGCCGAAAAACTATAATCCTTTAGCAACACTGAAAAGTGGCATGAAAAAGAAGTAAAAGAAACGGATCCTAGATACCCAAACGATGTTCGGAAAACACATGAAAATTTCACGAGTGAGCTACACTGCTTACATTACCCTTGGTACGAGATTTCCACAAATAATAGAAACGAGAATAAAATAATGCGACAAAATAGACAACAAGACACTAAGAACTACCACGGCGATAGTTTGTAGAGATCTATCTACAAGTGGGTCGCGATTTACCTAAACTGACAACGAAATTCCAGCCTGAACCAATCTGGATCGACGAGAAACAAGTATCTGAACGAAAAAGAACAAACGGGTCATGACAACAACCGAAAAAAGAAAAAATGTAACATAAAAATATAGCGGGAAGAGAGGTCGAAAAGCAAGCAGAAATTATGAGAGTGCATGAGAATACGGAGGCTCTAGAATTGGTTGAAGAAAGAACCGAAAATCTAATATCCGGATTGGACTTCAATAGGGGAAATGAGGAAGGGAATTGGATTGAAGCATCTACCTTCCTCCAAGGACTCTCGAATTCACTGAGAAATGCCAAAGGAACAGGGCTGGAACTGATGAAATCTACGGATTAATCGTAGAGAGCGTAAAATTCCTTGGGTGAGATTGTTGTTCTTCGGCTGCGGGCACTAGGAAGTGTTGTTCGTGATGTAACATGTAATCCGGTAATCAATCTTGTTGTCCAAGTTGCAGAAATGAGTCGCTTCCAGGAAGAAAACATTCATAATTCTGACCTCCATTGATTGATTATCAAAGAACAGAGTCCTTTTTTCTTTTCTCTTCCCATTTCTTTTAGGCAAAGAAAAAAGAAAGATATTTTATTTTAATCCCGACGACATATCTAATTATTAAATTACACCCTAAACTTTCCCATTTTAAATATCAAT